CAACCCTACGACAATTCTATGAAGTAAATGGGTTTAACATACGGATATTTGTTTCCCACATGATCACTTTGTCCCTCCTCACCCTGTTTATTGAAACCTATGATAATAAGTAAATATGTGCTGCCAAACCAGTTCCAACTTACGGTGACTGACAACGTTTTCTGGGTGTACTCAGCAGCGATTAATTTGCCCTTGCTTTGGTGGTGCTCTGAGACCATGGCGCTCACTCATGTCCCCCTAAGGTGACAGGAACATGAATGCACCCATAAGACACACCCGAGGTGATTCTGGTCAGCCCTCATTCCAGGAGGTACAGTGCAGATTCGAACTCTTGTCCTCTGGTTCTGCAGTCAGGCACCCCTATGTGTATTATGTGCAGTCATGCCGCATCCGACTTACAATAATTCTAATACAGTTTCAAGAGATGAGATAGGTAAGGAGTGGTTTGCCATTACCAAACTCCAAAAGTTTCCATAGCTAGGCAGGGATTTGAACTCAGGTCTCTGACCTACAGCCTTGTCTGGCACTCTGTCTGCTACAGCTCAAATCCTACAGTTGAGTATTAGATCTTAAGAGCTGGGCTATGCTGCATAGGGTACACTGAAAATCTAATCATTTTCTCTCCTGCCATGTTCACCAAGAAAATAAATCTCCCTCCATCATGCATCCTGATTTAGCCCCGGGAGCATACATGGTAAATATGGGCATCTGGAGAGTTTGGTATTTAATATGGTATCTTATTGACCCTTAGACTATTTGCATGAAATGTATTGAAATACTTTTCTTTGCATGCCACTGTTGCCATGTTTTAATCTAGACTGTGCATATAGTTATAAACAGCACAGCCATGATGGTAACCATTGGGGCCAGATAAGAACAAATGTCTCTTTCATTCTTTGGAAGTGCAATCATTTCCTATGTCAGAGATCTTAAAATCATTTCCCATGTACTGTAGGTTCTTATCACTACTTCTGCACGTCTTCCTAATCAGTATTCAGAAAGAATCCAAACAAGAATGTAACGTCTGTCGATCTGGTCTCATGGCCCAGAAACCCAGCAGAAATGGTATTTGGGCAAACAGAATATATGTACTTTTTCTCTGACACTATATGTTTCACACAATCCAAGGCAGAAAGTCTTGATGTCCTTCGCATAGTACGTGTAACCTCTGTTCTCTAAGTGTCTCCCTTGACTAGCCCACCCAATATATAGCAGACAGGCAGCAAATGTACATTGGGAATATTTATTTAGGTTGTACTGGGGAATCTCAAGTAAAAGAGCATTTTGAGAAGCAGAGTCTCAATGATTTGGGAAATCCCATTGGTATTTCAGGGTGCAGCTCTATATCAGCTGGCTGCGCTGCCTTTCCATTTGCTGTTTTGTTTCATTATCTGAACACCTCTAGAAATCTCTATAAATTCAAGGTACGTATGCTTACTCCATATTATGTACTTTTTTGTTAATTTTTTCCCCCTGTGCTAACAGAAAACATACAGAATAATGCCTAAAATAAGCTTTGACAGCTTAAAGTAGAATGATCTTGGTCCCCAGTGACACATACTTATACGTGATGATCCTTTCTAATTTCTTCATTGCTGTCCTTCGGAGTCCCAGTCTTCCTCTGCTTGGCTGCAGTTTCCATTTGGATTGATGATTGGACCAAAATATGCAAAATCTTTAACTATTTTAATTTGTTCATTGTCAACATTAAAGTTGTGTAGTTTTTTTTCTGCAGCCATGATTTTTGCCTTCTTAATGTTCAGTTGTAGTCCTGCTTTTGCATTCTCCCCTTTTTTTTAACTTAAAAGTCATTTCAAGTCATTGCTCTGCTCTGCCAGTAAGATGGTGCCATCTGCATAGTAGTCCTGCTTTTGCATTCTCTCCCCCCCTTTTTAATTAAAAGTCATTTCAAGTCATTGCTCTGTTCTGCCAGTAAGATGGTGCCATCTGCATACCTTAAATTACTGATATTTCTTCCACCACTTTTCACTCCTTCATCTGAATATAGTCCAACTTTCTGTACATGTTCTGAGTATTGACTGAAGATAAAATTCACCCTTGTCTGAGTCTGGTGCCTATAGGAAACCATTCTGTCTCGCCCTGTTCTTTCCTAACAGTAAATTCTTGTCCACAATGCAGGTTATGTATCAGGACAATCAAATGCTGAGTTGCTCCATTTTTTTTCAGAACAACCCATAGTTTCTCATGGTCGACACAGTCAAAGGCTTTGCTGTAGTCTATAACGCATACCTAGCGGTTCGAAAGCATGCAAATGCAAGTAGATAAATAGGGACCACCTCGGTGGGAAGGTAACACCGTTCCGTGTCTAAGTCACACTGGCCATGTGACCACGGAAGATTGTCTTCAGACAAACGCTGGCTCTATGGCTTGGAAACTGGGATGAGCACTGCCCCCTAGAGTCGAACACGACTGGACAAAAATTGTCAAGGGGAACCTTTCCCTTTAACCTATAAAGCATAGACTGATCTTCTGAAATTCCTTGCTGTGCACCAGTAGCCAATGGATACTTGGGATCCTGCTTGAACGTCAGACTTTTCTTACTCCATATAAAGTAAAAGCCTTTGTTGCAACACCTTGAACATTATTTTGCTTGCATGGTAAATCAAAGCAATAGTCCTACAGTTACTGCACTCCTTGGCATCTCCTCTCTTGGGAATTGGAATGTATATTGAATGTTTCCAGTCTGTGGGCCATGGTTTCATTTTTTATATATATTTCTTCGTAGATTCTTGTTACGATTTTGTCAGATTCAGCCTCTGTGGCTTTAAATAGTTTCCATCCATCTACCCCAGTGATTTTTTAATACAGTGGGGTCTCGACTTACGAACTTAATCCGTATTGGAAGGCAGTTCTCAGGTCGAAAAGTTCTTAAGTCGAATCTGCATTTCCCATAGGAATGCATTGAAAACCATTTAATACGTATCTGCTCTTTTCGTCCATAGAAACTAATGGGAAGCTGATATTCCGCCTTCTGCCACTAGAGGGGGATATTTTTTTCCTTTTTTCCTTTTAACCTAAGATGACTTAGCTTTAAAAAAAAAGGAAAAAAAGAGTTCGTAACTCGAATCTAAGTTCGTAAGTCGAGTCCATATATATCCATCTACCGCAGTGATTTTTTAATAGTGTTTTCACTTCATATTCTAGAACTCGTAGTTTTGCTTGACCTAACATTCTCCATTATAATGTCATTAATTTGTTTAATAATTCCCTATAGTTAGTAAATAATTAAATAATTTCCTGTATTTAGCTTTGAACTTTCTGTTTTAAGCCACCTTGGGTCACTTTGGGTCAGCATTTCTAACTGAGGCTTACATTTCCCTTTGATTTATTGGATCTTTGGGAGGAGGTTTCTTGTTTCCCCCCTTTTGTTGTTCTCTATTTCTTATTGCAGTGGTGATTGTAATAGTTCCCTTTGCCTCTACACAACAGTCGCTGGAAAACTCCTTTCAGAGTTCTGACCCTATTCCTCTCACCTTTTACTTTTGATTCTCACCTGTCTTACAATTTTACGTGTTTCTTCCGTCATCTATCTAGAGTTTCCTATTCTTGTTACTCCGGGAATTGTATTTTTTCATTCTTCCCTACTAATATCTCTGGTTTCAATCTACAATTCTTCTGGTTCATGGTTAATTGGGTTTAGTGATGCATACCTATTCCTTTTTTCGTTTCCTTAGTGACTCACTGCCTGAGGGTTTTTTTTAATGGGTTGTTGTGCCTTGTTGCATTGAAGGTGTTTTGGTGTTGATTTTTTTTTCATCCTTTTTAAGGGTGGTATTTGAATGATCCTTTAAAATATTTTTATACTTACTATTTTTACCTTCTGAATATTGTCTTTTAATGACATAAGCCACCTTGGATCCTCTTTAAGGAGAAAGGTGGAGCAAAAATATTTTAAATGAAGAAATATAAATAAATAAATTATATTTTTGGACTACAATCCTCTTAGTGTTCTTTTCCAGCTTTTCTCTAGTTGGATATTAACAGTTTGTCATCAGTACCACAATCTTCTTTTGGTTTTGTTTTGGCAGAAGGAATACAGCTTCTCCATCTCCTGCTTCTAATTATGTGATTTGGTTTCTATATTGGCCAGCTAGTGATGTCCATATATACAACTGTCATGTAGTCACCTCTAAAAATCTCATCCCTTAAGAGGAACACATTTATTTCAATGCGATTTTTCCTAAATTACAATCCACTTCTGCAGACACTGTACTTGGATTGCAACCATGGGAAGTTGCACTGACATAGACTTGTTGATCTTAAAAGTCTGGTTTTGCATTTTGCTTTCGCTGGTGCTAAAAAAGAGAGAGCAAATTGGATACCTACCTGAGAACTATCACAATATGCCACTAGTTGTTTTGTAGAGTTTCAGCTGTCTCTAGTTTTAATATAGTTTTACATAGTGGTTAATATAAACTCTTGTCACGGCATCAATGATTTCATGTTAATTTGTGATATTTTGAATTGATAACTTATTTTCTTGCCATAGTTCCTAGAGGAAATGTAGGATAGAAATATTTTAAATCAATGTATATATATTAAATAAAGAAGCCTGGGACAAAGAGTTGCAAAAAGGAAGCTGTGGGTAAATAAAAATGAGTTGAACACCAATGTCTACTAGTTCTCCCTGTAAAATGACCTCTGTCCCCACATTCACATTCGTGTGCATTGGTAAATGGTCTTGGAAATGCCATGTTCTCCATGCAAATTCCAGATTTTAGAAATCATAACCTATTATTTAGTCTTGGAGCCTCCATAGCAACAGGAAACCTCATATCCTGAAATACTGCCTCACTGATTTGGGAAGCTCTTCTCCTTTTTCTTTTAGATACACTTTCCTCTTGGTAGGTGGCTGCCTCCTGGCCTCTGCTGTCATGGGGTGCAACGCCTTACTGCTATTTGTACCTGCTTTCTGCTCTGTTGCTGTAATCTGTTCGGCTGACCCCCAGCAAGTCCACAGATGGGCATTCTTCTTCCAGATGACCTGGCAAACACTCTGTCACTTTTGGTTGCAATATAAAGAATATTATTTGCAAGAAACTGCATGCACCAGGTAAAGCAGCAATTCTTCCAGGTTATAACCGACAATTACAGTTTTTAAGGAACAGTTTGTTTGAGTTCTGTTTCCTTTGCATGATTTTAATACTCCCAGGAGCAGCTCAGATTGATCTTATAGAGAGATGTTTGTCTAAACAATTGGTGTGTGTGAGTGATTTAAAGTCACAATTGCCTTTTATTCATGATATAGTAGATATTATAGTTTTTCTTCCAGATTTATTATATCCAATTTTACTGAGCTTTATAAGAATTGGATTTCGAGCTAATAGATCCACCACTGACATGCTATTCTCCCTCCGACAGTTGCAGGAGAAATGCAGGGAACAACAACAGCCAGTTTAGTGGCCTTCATAGATCTTACAAAAGCATTTGACGTGGTTAGCAGGGACGGCCTTTTTAAAATACTTCCCAAGATTGGATGTCCACCTCGTCTCCTTAACATCATCAGATCCTTCCATGAGGGAATGAAAGGCACTGTAGTTTTTGACGGCTCAACATCAGATCCCTTTGACATCCGAAGCGGAGTGAAACAGGGCTGTGCCCTCGCACCAACCCGTTTTGGAATCTTTTTTGCTGTCATGTTGAAGCACGCTTTCAGAACTGGAACAGAAGGTGTCTATCTCCAGACTAGATCAGACGGAAAGCACTTTAATCTCTCTAGATTGAGAGCAAAGACCAAAGTCCAACTGAAATGCATGCGGGAC